CATGTCTATTATTTATGTGCCGTTTACTCTCAGGATTCTCTTTAATTTTGACACAACATTATATTAATAATTTTCTTTTAGTTTTATGTGTACTGTGCTGGCTGGTTTTGTTCATACTGGTCTTTATCTGCACCGGGTTGGAAAACATTCCGTACGTTTTAACTTTCAGATGTCTTTTCCTTATTCTTCCGCCAAACATTGTAGTTCCTCAGAAACCGTTGTGGTTGCAACAAAGTGGTTGGCGAGCAACACACAGACGTAAACAAAGGTGTATGTTTGTAGAGTAATTTACAACAGCTTTGAACGCGACTCAACCAATCAGAATCAAGGACCAGAACTATCCATTTTATAATAATAATGTTTTCATAGTTTTTTTTTCTTAATAAGAATAAGAATAAATGTTATTATTATTATTATTATTATCATTGTTGTTGTTGTTGTTGCTGTTGTTGTCATTGTTTTTGTATCACTTGTTGCCATGTTACACATTTTACAAACAATACCAAAATTATTTATTAATTATTATTTATAAATAAATTATCATCTTATTATTATTAGTAATTATATTATATTATATTATATATTATATTATAATTAAGTTACATAATATGTATATAACAATTAAAGTATATAACATTATTATTATTATTAATGTTGTTGTTGTTGTAATACTTTGCAATTTTATGTATTTTAAAAACAGTATAAGTAATTATTATTAATAATAATAAAACATTATTATTATTAATACCAAAGAATTACAAAACAATAATATAATATAATATTAATATTAATTATTATCTAAATTATTTTATTATTAATCCATAATGATGATTATTATTAATATTATAGCATGCCATTACATTTACATACAAATCCCACCCTACATTTTAGTCAAATTATTAGCGATTCTGCAAAAGAAAATGAAGAGGTTTGTAGGCCAAGCTTATGAACATTAATCTACACGCTATTGTTTAATATGGGATAAGATAATAGCGCAGGGCATGAGGATGTATTGGTGCGACAGCACATTTGTAACACTAATACTGCTCTCTGCACAGGCTGATTGTTTTCCCACTAAGTATTCGTCCACAACATAACCTTCTGACCTTTTCATGTCCTGCTTCACTCGACTGGTGACCTGTGACACCACAATGCTTTGATAAACCAGAGTCACCTTCAACACGGACATGGACACAAACACACGGGAGCAGCAGGCAGTGAAGGGTGACAGCGCTGTGGTGTTGATCTGAGAGACGGCTATCATGGGCCTGCTGCGCAGACAGAAGAAGCAGTGTTTGGGAGGCCCCCCCGGGGAAGGGGGTGAGCTCTAAAATTGTCTGTTGTTTGTCTTCATTAAATGTAGCCCCAAGGTCACAGGGTCTCTGGACACCCTCAGCTCACCTCCCCTGAACAGCCATAACTTCAGCCCAGATTAGCTATAATTAATGAGTCCAATTACTCAGCTCACTAATCTTGTTAAACGTCCTGCTGGAAGAGCCAAAATATGCATGTGTGTGTTTACTGGAGTTGTTTAAAAGGGAGGGGTGTGATGAAAAACAGCCTTTATGAAGAGAGAGATTCATTTCCTGTGTCATACCAGCAGTGCAGCAGTGACAAAAAATCAGCCAGCGATCTGATTGGCCGGCGGGGTGAGAGGCAGCACGTGATTGGCCGAATGCCTGGATAGAACCGTCGATCTACAACTGCATTACGAAATGGGTTTGAAAAAGCTGCCTCTGCAAAGCATCTGGCTTTCCTCCTCTTTATCGCTCGGTCTTCTGCTCTCCCTCCATCTTTCTCTCTGTTTCCCTCTCTTTCCTTCTTTTACAATGCCTCCCCGACCCAATGCTTCTTTTCCCTATCGACCTCTCCATCTCTCGTTCTTCTTCTCAGGCAAATTCACAGATAGCACTGGTGCGTACAGCTGCCGCAGGCCCCCAAAATGGCATAGACTTTCTCAACAGTAGCCGTTCAACTGATGACCTCAGGAAGAAATCAATCTCGTTAGTGACTAGAATAAATGAAAAGCCTGTGTTCTCCTCAACATGAGCATCATGCAAGCACTTCTTTGTACCATAGAAATTGCTGATTATCGTTTCAAAACATTCTGGATTCCAATGAAATAACCAAAAATACAGATAGAAATATGGGAGTCTGCCTCCACCTCACAGTAAACAAAAAAAACAAAAAAATAATAAAATAAAAATAGGTTGTGAATTTCCTAATTGTGACCTTGAGATATTAGTCAGATACTTAAAAAGTCACAATGTGAGTCGACTACGACTGTTAATTGCGACATTAAATCTTACAATGTGACATTACATCTCGCAACTGCAACTTTGTGTCTCGTAATTGCGACTTTATTTCTCACAAAATGGCTTTATGTTTTGCAATCCAGCTTTATATCTCACCATCCAACAATTGCAACACTTGTTTCTTATAACTACAATTTTATGTCTCACAATGTGACCCTAAATATCATAATTGCATAATTATATATTGCAACTGCACTTCTCATAATTGTGACTTTATATCTCACAATGTAGATTTGTCTCGCAATTCAACATTATATCTCACCTTCTGGAATTATTATCTTGCATTTGCAACATTGTTTCTCATAATGGCAACTTTATATCTCACAATGTGACTTAATCTCATAATAGACATAGTTAACATGAACTACTGAAAAATACTTCTAATGCAATTATTAATCTTAATGACAATTTCAATATTTACTAATACATTATCAAAGGCTGTATCTGCTAATATTATTAAATGGAACTGAGCAAACATGAACTAACAATGAACAGTATTTTTATTAATTAACTTTAGCAAAAAATTTATAAATACTGTATCGTTTTTAGTTAATGCTTTAACTTATATTAACTAATGGAATCTTATTGTAAAGTGTTACCCATAACAAATCTCATAACAATATCTCTCATTATTGTGACTTTATATTTCACAATTGCAACTTTGCTTCTCGTAATTGTGAATTTATTTCTCACAACGTGGTTTTATGTCTTGTGATTCAGCATTATATCTCACTATATTAAGTTATTATATAAGTTATTATATAACTGCAACTTATGAGGCTTTATGTTATTTTTAACTTTATCTCACAATTATCTCTTTACTCTGAGACAGAAAAAGGGTTCCACAGCAAGAGTTGAACTTGTGACCTCTCAGACTTAAGCAAAAAATATTCCTCTGAGTCACATCAGGTCCTGCTCAGGTGGGGCCCGATCCTCCCTGAGACTGAAATCCTAGAATCACCCTTTTCTGCACCGTCAGAAGGTAGGAGGCTGGGAAAACAGTGTATCATACAATCAGTTGAAGGTATTTCCTAAGCTGTTAGATTTATGTTTCTCCCCTGGTCACTTGAGAGCTTCATTGGTGGTGGCCTCATTCAGGTTGTTGATCTATGTTGCACGCTCTTTTTTTTTTTTTTTTTTTACTTTATGAGGACTGTATTGGGGGCAGGCCCCTCCCCGACCATGGGCTTGGTCTTGCCTCCACCTTCCTCGTACCTGTGTGTGTGTGTGTGTGTGCAAGTTGGCTGCCGTGACACTGTGAGACTTGTTCTGGGGCGCCTGACATGCCGACAAACAATCAGAGTGAAACATACACAAACACACATATACACGCACCTCTCTCAACCCTCCTGCTGCTCTAAACCTCCACACGCAACTACATAAATGCACAATGTAAAAAAAAGGCATGCGAAGTATAAGTCATTCGTTTTGGAAAATCCATCTTAATTGAGTTTCGGAACACGTTCTTGACCACCTAAATTACTCCAGGTATCTCACCCCTGATAGAAAATCTAGTTCAAGCTGGTAGCTGGGTTTTGGAACATGGTAGCTAGTCTCTAGCTGGTATAATATGGTTATTAGCTGGTCTATAGCTGGTTGACCTCCCACCATGCTCTCAAAACCAGCACGACCACCTTAAACTGGTGTAAACAGCTGATATCTGATTTGTAGCTTATCCAAGATGGTCTACTAGCTTAATAAGACTAGCTCAAGTTTCAAGTTTATTTGTTTATTAGCTAAAAACCAACTACTATTCTAAGGTGGTCAATTACATGTTCCAAAACTCAGTTAAGATGGATTTTTCCAGAAGGAATGACTTATACTTTACATCGCTATTTTTTACATTGTGCATTTTGTAGTTGCGTGTGGAGGTTTGCAGCAGCATGAGGGTTGTGAGAGGTGCGTGCATATGTGTGTTTGTGTATGTTTCACTCTGATTGTTTGACGGCATGTGAGGTGCCCCAGAACAAGTCTCACAGTGTCACGGCAGACAGCTTGCACATACACACAGGTATGAGGAATGTGGAGGCAAGACCAAGCCCATCGGGGGTGGTGTGGCCCCAGGCTCAGGGAGGGACCTTCCCCCAATTCAGTCCTCATAGTGAAGAATTAATGCTGCTCAATGTGAAAGCCCGCAGGTGATGGAGATTTACCGCTGATTACAGAACCGGCTTTCTGACAAGATGCGCATTAAATATCGCATGCGATTTATCGTGCAGCCCTAGTTTTTAGCTAACAAACTTGAAACCTGAGCTAGTCTTAAGCTAGTAGACTATCTTGGATCAGCCACAAATCAGATCCCAGCTATTTTGTAGAACATGATACAGCTACAGACCAGCTAATAACCATTTTAGACCAGCTAGAAACTAGTTTCCATGTTCTAAAACCCAGATACCAGCTTGAACTAGATTTTCTATCAGGGGTGAGATACCTGGAGTAATCTCAACTTGGAAGAGCAGCCAACTATGCACTTACAGATATGTGCAAAACCCTGACATAAACACACACACACACACTTGTTTTTGAGTATTTTGCCCATGTTGTGATCTTGTGCACGTCTTCATCTCTCACCACAATACATTTGTCAGCAAAAAAGAATGTATATATTTGGCAGCCCATAAGCAAAGACACACTCTTGTCTTCCTTCTCGCTGATCTATGACTTTAAAGAAAAGTTTTCACTTACTGCTTTGTACGTGCACTGTACTGGTGCTGTTGTCCTTCCCCAGAATATTCTCTGCCATACATGTGTAATTCCCAGAATCCTCCAGCTTTGCACTGCTGATCTGAACTTTGGAAGTTTTCCTTCAAGAAGAAGACAGACAGAAACAGGAGAAAGAGTCAAGGATTCCACTATAAAAAAATGTAAGAAGGAGAAACTCTCCAGAGAAACCCTCTGTATAAATTAGAGCTTGGTTCAAGTCTTTAAACAGAGATAAAACAGAGACATATGACACTCTGAGAATCCCAGTGAGCTTCACATTGCTTCCACAAATGGTTCTTTTTGGTGAAGAACATTACCAATGAATCAGTTAAATTAGACAAAAATCTCCTTTACCCTTAGATCATTTCTTAATACCGAAGATAATTTTAAAGGCAATTTACTCACTTCAATATCATTCCATACCTGCATAATTTTCATGGAACTCAAAAAGTAGATATTTTTTGAAGAATCTTCATGCAGCTCTTTCTATATGATAACTTATAGTGACTCTCTGTCAAACTCCACAAAAAGACAAAAATGTACCATAAAGCATCATTAAAATTATACTCCATATGAATTGGATCATATGTTTCATTCTTTTGAAGTCATATGAAAGCTTTGTGTGAGGACCAAAATATAAGTCACTATTTACTGCAATTCTTTGGCTTCACTAATGCAGGCTTGATTCAAGCTTTGATGCATGTGTTACTTAGAACTGTCTTTCAAAGAGCTGCATGAAAACCTGGGGAAAAAATATATTATGTGCCATTATAACATTTTGTAACAACATAAGCTTAAAGGAATAGTCCACCCAAAAAAATGACAATTTTATCATCATTTACTCACCCTCAAGTTGTTCCAAACCTGTATATGTTTTTTCCTATGTTGAACACAAAAGAAGATATTTTGAAGAGCCAAACAGTTGTTGGTCCCCACTGACTTCCATAGTAGAGAAAGAAATATTATGGAAGTTAATGGGGACCATCAGCTGTTTGATTACCAGCATTCTTCAAAATACCTTGCATTTACTGAACACAAAAGAAGACATTACGAAGAATGTGGGTAACCAGTGGGTAACAGTTGCTGGTCCCCATTGACTTCCATAGTAAGAAATACTATGGAAGTCAATGGGAAAAAACTCTTCAAAATATTATCTTCTTTTATGTGCAACATAAGAAAGAAACTCATACAGGTTTGGAACGACATGAGGGTGGGTAAATGATGAGAAAAATTTTCATTTTGGGGTGAACTATCCTTTTAAGTATATATTATATTTTAGAGAATCTTTGGACCCACGGGTTGGTAAACCAGCTTTCCCATCAGATTAGGAAGACCAACTTAAACCGGCTTAGATCATTTTAAACTAATAACACTGTTTTCATTTTTGGTGACCTATTTCTTTAATCGTGTCATTAACAATATATTAGACATGCATGCTGAAACACTTCACGTTAATTACAAGGGCACAGGCAGTCTGTAGCACACTGCCCATAAGGATAAAACGCTTGACTTATGTGAAGTTCAAGATCTACACTTAGAACGTCTGATAAACGTCTAGAACTGGAGGTTGGATTCTGCTGGTGTGTGCTAGTGGATGTGCTGACTCACTTGCCGTTCCTGGAAATTTTGATCTCTTTGCTCTTCTTCAGTTCAGTGCCATCTTTGTACCACTTGTACTGCGGGGTGGGGTTGCCGGAGGCCTCACACCTCACAATCAGCCTGCTTCCTTCGTCCACCAACACAGGATTTTTCATGCGCTTCAGTGAGGGAGGAGCAGCTGAACAACAGAAAGAAAGAAAGAATATTGTGTTATAAGTACTTATTTTTAACATCAACATGTAGTAGGGTTGATGCAGTGATGGAGCAGAAAATAAGGGAGGGATGCAGAGAGAGAAAAATCCAGAAAAGTCTTTTAGCTGGCCAGATGATGTCACCAGAGACACTGGCAGTGTGAGGCAGTTCTCTCTTCGTTTCAGTCCAAGCGCTGAGCTCTCTCTGCTCTCAGGGATCAATGCAGCACATTTACAGCACTAAAACACCTGCATTTTGTGCTGCTCTTCACTGTTATGAACTCAACCACACATGTGGACATGCTAAAATAACAAAAGGATTCACATGCAGTATCGGGGGTAACTATCTACACTAGCAGCACTACTAACTTAAAGGTATAGTTCACCCAAAAAATAAAAATACTTTCATCATTTACTTACCCTCCACTTGTATGAATACAGAAGACATTTTGAAGAATGTTGTTAAACCAAACAGTTGACGGTAGCCATTGACTTCCATAATATCGGGGAAAAAAATACTCAATGGCTAGTAGTCACCTTTTTGGTTATCAAAATTCTTCTCAGAATTTGAATTTTGAGGTGAACTATCTCTTTAACTTACATTGTTTTCAAGGTTTTCCGGTAACGAGGTAGCTTTTTCTATTAAAAAAGTAGCAGTGCTACTTGACAAAGCACTAGCCTACACATATATTTTTAAATGTCATGTTGTATTGCGCACAAACTGAGGAAGTAATCAAATGTGTTCTCCTAAATGGTCCTTTCTCATGTTTAGCGTTCGAAAGTCACATTCATTTTTAGTGAATTGGTTTAGCAGTCCTCTCTGTCGAAGCATTTATATGTCTGATTCATTCAAGTGAATCAGTTTGCACTAAAAGTCTCTCTCACTGCCATAAAGCATTAGAATGTCTGATTCATTTTAGTGAATTGGTTCATACTAAGTGGTTCTGTCAAAGTGTTAATATGTCGGATTCAAATCTGATTCAAATGAATCGGTTCAGGCTAAACGGCTCTCTCTCTCTTTGATAGGAAGCGTTGGAGTGTTCAGTTCGGTTCATACTAAGCAGTCCTTTCTGTAAAATGTATGATTCATTCAAGGGAATTACCTCGTGCTAAATGGTTATCCCTCTGATATGAAGTGTTGGCAGAGGCGGACTTAACCATTAGGCAAAGGTAGGCGACCGCCTTGGGCCCCCAAAAGCCAAGGGCCCCCTAAAATGCTTTTTTATATGCGAGATGCGCGTTTAGTACGGAATGAACGGCGCAGACGCGCGTTTAACGCTCGCGGTTGTCGTCTGTAGTAGCTAAATAGTATTTTTGCCATTTAATATTCACATACACTAGTCCATATCGTGGTTTGATTGAAGTGTACTGAATTGCATTTGATTTATTCATTCAATATTTGACGAATTCCGTGACATTGCTCGTTACACAGTAAACTTCTTTTGTGTAGCATTTTGAATGTACAAAAATTAAAGGGTTTGTTTAATTTTCATTTGGAATAAAAGATAGATTAATGTTTTCGCCTTCATTTGATTACCAGAAAAATGAAAATACACAACACAGAATTTCTAAAAAATAAATAAATAAAATAAAAATTTCATAGGGCCCTATTATTGTATACAAATTAATAAATTAAGTTGTTTTATGAATTCAATTAATTAGATATGTTTTTGATTACACCATTAAAATGGAATACATAAAAATTCAAGTAATAAAAAAAAGAAAGCGCACAATTTGGGTCCTGAATGTAATTTTTGTTAAACTTTTAATAGGCCTAAATTGCTCGTTTTTGTGAAAGACCCAAGAAGGACCATGCACAGTCACTTTCCACACAGGCACACTTCATGTTTGGTTGAAATAATCCTTAAGCATGTAAATTTATAATTTCCTTCAGTTTAATTTAAATGTGCAATTAAAATAAATAAAAATACATGTATATTTTAAAGTTTAGAATTAGACAGCCTTGCGTTTGCATAGTGAAAATTACCCCAAACGCACCACCTAGTGTCCAACCTACTCTAATACTATTATAACCTGTTTAAATGTGAACAAGGGATTTACAACATTAAAGAAATCCTTTATTTATAACATGTACATGAAAAATCGAAAAGATTGGACACAACTATGGGACACGGTCGTGCAGCAGTGAGCAACAGTGAAAGGAACCTCAAGGTTGTAAATGTGTGAAATTGTATAGGGTCCCATTCCTGTATTTTGCCTGGGGCCCCCAAATCACTAAATCCATCCCTGAGTGTTGGTATATTTGATTCATTCTACTGAATCAGTTTGTGCTAAACAGCTTTCTCTCCCATGCACAGTATTGGAATGTCTGATTCATTATTCTGAATTGGTTTGTTCAGATCTGTTTTAAAAATGATTCACACAAAAAGCAGAACATTTAGCTGATGTTGTTTTCAACTCATTTTTATAAAGTAGTGTATATTCTAGTTTTTAGTTGTTTATTTGATTGTTCAAGCATTGTTTTGTGCTAAAAATATGCTACTGCTCTAATTAAAAAAAAAAAAAAGCAATTGGTTATAAATGTAAAACGATACCTACCCCTTTAGTAGCCTAAGTTAACTACTTTGTTTCAAATCAACAGTATTTGTCTCACTATTCAAGGAAACCCTAGAAATTAGGATTGTTATTATTCATGATTTGGTGACTTCATCTTATAATTTATTAATTAGCTAAACTTACTCTAAAGATCAAAATCCATCCAGAGACTTTAATCCCAATCAATCTTCTAGAATGAGATAAAGGGGTCATAGGATGCTACATGCACTTTTACAAGTTGTTTGAACTGAAATGTGTGTTGGCAGTGTGTGTACACAACCACCCTATAATGATAAAAATCCACCCAGTGTTTTTTTTTAATCTGGTTAAATGTTTTTTTCTCGAACATTTAACCAGATAAATCTCAAATTGCCCTTTCTCAAATCGAGCCGATCTCAGATGCCTGTCTGTGTGACGTCATTCATGATCCATCCTCATCTACAGAAGAAGTGAGTATAATGTTTTGTAATGAATCTTTGCAAATCGCCTTTCCTAATAATGTGCTAATTAGCAAGTTTCACGATGAATGCGGCTAAAGTAAACAGGAAGAGAGGGGCGGGATCAGCAGAGCTCATTAACATTTAAAGGAAAATGCTACAAACACGGCTTGATCTGAAAAGAGCTGTTTTTGACAGGGTAAAAAAGGTGTTTTTTACACTACCATTGAGAAATTTTAACCAAACTATGTTACAGACTTTTCATTAAGACCCTAAAGAATCATATCAACTTGTGGAAAATGGGCATCCTATGACCCCTTTAAATAAATTTGTTTTGAAAAAGCATGTCGTCAAAACACCAATGTTCGAGAAGAAAGCAGAGAGGCTTAGCTTGTCTTTAACACATATTTTGAAATTATGCAAGAACGGCAACTGATGACTTCATAAATTCTAAAGAGACACTCAATCTCAGACAACAGTCAAAACACCAACAGAATGGAGGACAACAGTGCTGAAAGGAGGTGAAGTTACTACATGTGGGCCGCCACATGCCCAGACGCTGCCATGCATAGTCACTCAGGAAATGCATTATGGGATTAATGCAGACTCAGACAGCAATCACAAGGCTTCAAAGAGTTGCGGTTCCACATCCGAAGGGCAGAACTGGGCGATGCTTTTTGGCTGTACCCTACTGTCCTGGATGAGAGAAAGGCGCATGCTGCCCCAAGGCTGGGGCAGGATTCTGTGTAGCTCTTTGGGCCTTCCCAAAGTGAATCCATGGAGGCACTTACACTTTTACAATGGCTACCTCTTTATTACTTGTCAACGCACATGATCAATACCCAATTAAAGCCTTAAGCTATTATTGCAAAAGATAGCAAGCATCAAAAAATAAACAGATGAAAATACACAAGCATTAACATCAATTAGAAACAGAGGTTGCTAAAATAACCAACAGTCATCCTAATTTTGGAACAACTGTCCCACTTCCCTGTCCCAGTAAAGGCAGCTGTTTTATCCGAATGTCTGCTTTCATGGCTGAATGATGCAGTCTGTTCTGATGTTGCGTAGCTCAAAGTAACATGACAGTCTCTGGCACAATGTTTGGATTGTACTGTCAGTCGAATAACGTCTCAGGTTTCCCATGACAGCCTCTAGTGATGCGCATTCTCTCAGAAAAACCACCAAGTGTCCGATGTGGTTCTGCTCCACACCATTTAATGCTCACTGCTGTCGTTACCCCTCGGAGGCCATTAGACTGATGGGATACAGTGCGCCAGCAACACGATTCTTTGTACAAATATTTAAAGACACTGTAATCTCCCTGTATATTTGTGCTGAATGAAACCGTTCTGATTAATTGTTTTAATTGAATCTTGAATTCAATAAGCACAGTTTTCTTTTAATTAAACAGAAAAGTTAAAGATGTTTAATAAAGAAACAAACATCAACACTGACTGAGAAAAAAAAAAGTCACTGGAGTTTGATTTCATGATACTCAACACATGAAAAAAAAAAGCCTTTATGAGAACTAAACCAATTTTATTATCTGTCTAGAAGCTGGATGAGTAAGCAAAGGCCTTTTTTCCGACCACAATGTAACTTTTACTCACCCTAAACTCAGGGCACCTGCATCATTACTCAGCATGGACCTTTGGATTGACTGTGTTGTGCAACACAGCTTATGATGAATTCAAGCCGAGTAAGTGTGTGTTTTGCATTACACACTGCACAACGTCCGTTACTGCGACGTTATCGAAGAAAGTGCGAGTGATAGTTGCATACTTGCGCATAACGCCTAACTATGTTGCATTGGGGCCGAATCGGGGGTCGAGAAGGTCACGGTTAAGCACATGACGTGTATGCAGTGTTGGGGAGTAACTAGTTACATGTAACGGCGTTACGTAATTTAATTACAAAATAAATGTAACTGTAATCAGTTACAGTTACTAAGAAAAAATGTGTAATTAAATTACAGTTACTTATGAAAATGT